TGGTGTAGTTGTTTTGTCAGACTGGAGGCTCCATGCACATCAAGAGTTTCTGTGTTGGCATCTGTTGTCTGGGAGGAATATTTGTTTGTATGCAATTTTGCGAATCGGGCTATCAGTTGGGAAGCAGGGCTGAAAACAGGAGAAGACTGCCTTTTTCTGCAGGAAAGATAGGCACGAAGCTTTGTCTTCTTGGTGCAGTTGGTTTGTCAGCCTGGGGCGTTTCTGGCGAGCTAGCGTTTCCTTGCTGGTGAAGCCAGACAAGGCCTAGAAAGCAGAATATAAGTCAGAATTTAAGAATATAAGTAGAATATAAGAATATAAGCAGAATATAAGAATATAAGTATAAACGAAAGCTCAAAGAACTTTGCCAACACTTAGCTAGGATTTACTGCCAGAAACTAGAGATAGAGATTAGGTGTTACCGTACACTAAACGAAATGCACACACCCCCAACCTAAGTAAGATAAGTAAGGGGCAAAGTGGAGCTTGGAGTCTAAGAATCTTGCAAAATTCTCCATGTAGTCTGCCAAAATCAAGAAAGTTGAAAAGTTCATGAAGATGATGGAACCTGGACCAGGGGCTGATAAGGATGAAGAACAGGAACGACCCTCCTAGATTCTCCCCAAAAGGAAGACCGTGCCCCTGACTCCGCCTAGACTCTGCCTATTATGAATATTATAGTCAGATGTTGCAATCATATGAATATTTATGTAAACATGTTCAATCACCTGTAGAAATGGTATAAAAACCTGTAAATTCACTGGAAAGGCAGAGCAGTTTGTCCAGCGCGAGCTGGCTGCTCTCCAGCATTGCCTAATAAACATACCTCGCTGCTTAAAGACTAAATTTTGTCTCTGAGCAGTTCTCTGCGCCTTCTTGGGGGCAATTATTGGCATCATTTTTGGCCAGCCAGCCAGGAGCAGTAGACTCCCCAGGGCGCTGATCCAGGGGGCCCAAGCGACGCTCTCGGGGCCCCTTAGACAGAATTTTGTCAACAGAGCCTCCCGGGCCCCTTGGATCCACGTCCCGGCGGACGAACCTCCTCCTCCAAATTAAGAGGTATGTATACTTTTGTATTGTAATTGATAAAGAAAAGCGCTTTCAAAAAGGGAGCCGGAGGGATGCCTCGGCAGTATCCCTGAAAACTGGGTTAGAGTCCCAGAAATTATGAGCAGCAGACCTGAGGTCACGTTTATTTTCCCACCCTTTTCCTATGTAGGATAAATATGTGAATGTTTATTAAAAAAACACAACAAAACAAACCAAAAAGCTGTTCAAGAATAGTGACTACATAGAAAGAACAACTCTGGCACCACTTGGATCTTTGCGAATGCAGAAACCCTGTCACCCTCATCATGGCATCTAACGTCCTGAAATAATGTGGGTTTGAGGTAGGCAAAGAGTTTTTATATCTGAGTTATCAAACACGAGTAAAAGTTGTTGATTTTTCCTTGCATCTTTGAAACAATGTGGCTGTAGGCCAGTTGGTTGAAGAAAGGAAGCTGACATTAGCTTGAAAGGTTTATCAATCCCAGTTAATCATCTCCTGTCGTGCAATTACAGAAGGCGTATGTGCAGCACAGTGCATCAATCTAAACCTTTCTCCAAAGGTTGATAAATTTTGAGCAGAGAGCTTCTGAGCATTTATTTTAATTTAAATGTATCTTTTCTGTGGTTGTTCAAGTAGCTAATGTGGGTGCTTATCCATGGTGCAGAAAGCTTATTGAGACTCAAGCTTAAAAGTGTCCGTGAGTTACAGCATTAATACCAGCAAAACTGTCTTGCTAGTAAGTCAATAATTTTGCATGGCAAAAGTGAGATCCAGCAAAGTATTTTAAGTTCTCACTTCTCCCAGCAACACACAAGTTTCAATTTCACAGTGAGGAAAAGCTGCAACTCTAACCTGATGTACATGGAGCAGCACCGGGTTCACAAAGTGACCTTAAGTATTTTCATGAAAAGAAAGCACAAACTTCTCATGTTATGTTGTACTTCCATAAAAACAGTGGGCCTTCCCCATAGTAGTCAGAAAGAACAGGGATGGTGTACAAGTCACAAGTGTGCAGTAAAAACCCTCACTTAAAACAGTATTTTTGGGCAGCGTTTCGCGGGCACGATAACATGCTTGTTTTTTGCTCAGTGTTAAGTTCTTCACTAGCGTTTTAAAGAAAAAACTGCATCTTCCCATAGTGACAGTGGCCATTTGGAAACTCGAGAATTTGAACTGGCGTTTCCCAGGAGAGGACAAAGAAACGGGACCCGTCGCCGTGCAGGTCCCCTTAAGGAAGGGAAGGCAAGAAAGTAGTCCAGGGCAGAGACAGCCCCCCCTCAGGCTGCCTCTGGAGAGCCGCCTTCCATGGGCGAGTGAGCGCGTACAGAGCCGGACACTTGTCCAGGCACGCCACAATCGTGCACATCTTGAGTTTTAAAACACTTCATGTGTAGGACAATGCGAACACACTCATAAATGAACTGTTCAAAGGAGATTTTCAGTCTCTTTAGTGCGAAAGGCTGCGTGCCCGTGGATTGTGCTACACTCTGCTGCAAGGGGAAGAGGTTTAAGGCCGAGTGTCAGATTGACTGGAGTGTGCACAGTTTCTGAAGAGGTGGCTTTTGGTCAGTTGTTTTCCCGTGTGACCTAGAGTTTCCTTCTGCCGCTTAAGGCTGATATTGAAAGTTTCCAGTGCAATCAATCCATATGTGGTGTTGGTTATTTTTGTTACCAGAAGTAATATCCAAAGAGGAATCATAAAGTGCAAAGTACTGTCGGTATAGCAAACTTCAGAAAAACGAGCTGAATTCCGTTGTGTTAGGACTAGATAATCTCCAAGCTGCACATACTTTTTAAATTTACACAAATAAATAAGAGGTCATAGTTGTTTTTCAGCTAAACATTTACATTTTTTTAGATGTTTTCCTATCACATCTGTGAAAAACTGCACTCTGCTTAGCGCTTGAATTTTTCTAGACCTTTCTTCCCATTTGTATCCTTGATGTTCTTTGCCTGTTTCCAGGTCAGTGGCTTTATTTCATTTGTTGGTGTAGAAGGTAACACTGATAATATGTTGCCGTTTGAAGTATTACTGCTCCAGTTGTGGTAGTAGATGACTGGAGTCATGTTTTCTATTTGAATGACTTTGATTATATTTGGGTTTCAAGTGTGTGAGGTGGCACTGGGACTTAACTGAGGCTGTAGTTTTGCCATGGCACAGCGATGTGTTCTCACTGCCTGTCAGTGTGGTCGTGCCTGTGGCAAACAGGTAAGAACCATCACGTGAGCAGTTAACACACAGCAGCGGATGTTTGGTTATGTCCTGGCTTGCTTTGTGGTAGATCATTCCTCTTCCTTACTTTAAAGATTAGTCATTACGCTTGAGTAAATGGTAACCAAATCCTTACATTCTCTGTGATTTCTGTCACGTAAGTCTCCTGTAAGACTCTCTGACTTCAAATGCAACAGATGCTTTGATGGTTCTTGTGGAAAGCTGAATTTCTGGCAATTGTTACAGGGGTTGTAGCTGCTGTGGCATTCTAACAGGGCTGCAGTAACTCCCACTCTCCCACTAGTTTACGATGGCTGGAGAATGCTTGATGTTTGCTTACTTGTTTTCCTGTCAAGTGTCATTATGCCTAGCAAGAACTTATTCTTATTTCTTCACAGAATCATTTAAAAAAAGACTACAGAGCAAGATTCTGCCATGGAGGAGGGTAATTTGCATTTAAAGTTTTATTCTTAGATTCTGGAAAACTTATGTGGATTTTTATCCAAGAGCATAATGTCAAAGCTATACGGTGTATCCTATTAATCCGATCATACCATGTTTCCCAAATTTCTTGTATTTCTTAGTGGTGGGAGGAGCAAACAGTGCTGGGGGACAAAGCCCCAAGGTTTTCCTTTGTTTCCTTTGCTGAGGCAGCAAACTATGGTGTTGCTATACCTAAGGTGCTCCTAACTAGGCTGCCTGAGTACAGAAGGAGTAGTCTGTGCAGACATTTTGCCTTTCGAGAAGTAGAGAAATGAAACCCACACAGAGTTCCAGCGTATTTGGACCTTGCTGGTAAATGCTAGAGATGAGTTGGAGTATTTGTAGTGCTGTAGCATTCTTTAAAGGCACGTCAGAAGCCTGTGAAGTTCTTGTTGCTGGAATCCATTTTTAGACTTGCATTTCACGAGCTTACCAAATCTACCAAATCAGCTGTGTATAATGATCATTATGGGAGTAATACTCCATGTCTTTTCTAGTGTTATTTTGGTTTTGATCAACATTGTCTGGCTAGTGAATCACTCACTTCTGCCCAAAAAATGTTTATTTCAAGAGAGACTTTCTTCATCCCAAAGCTCTTTTACCTCAGGGAAGTAGTTGTGTGTTTTCTTTTTATGTAGAGAGAATTCTTCATTCTCATCATAATCTGTGGCAGTGAGGCTTTTTTCCCTGGAATTCTTATTTTGACAAGTTTCTCTGCAGATATCTATGTGTGGAAATGATAGGTAAAAGTATATTGAAGCTGAGACTAGAGGAAATAATAATTTAAAATATTGAGAAGTAAGAACTTTGCTGCTTTCATATTGCTGGGATAAGAACATTTGATATTTTTGATTTAAAATATTTTTTTTCCTCTTCTTTCTAGAAGTAAGATTGATGTACAGCCAGGTCAAAACGTACTGAAACTCATACAGGATTGTTTTGAAAGTAAGCTCTTATTTGGTGTTTTACTCAATTTGCTGGTAAAAGAAGAAATGATTTCTTCTTTATATTATATTTAGTGGTAAGTAAATAGAAATAAAAATTCGAGATAAAATGAATAAAAATAAAGTTTTTCTCAGGGTCTTGAAAAGCACCCCCCTCCCAGCTGCTTAAAACTGTGTCTTAACTGTCTTATAAAGGTAATCTTTCCTGAGTAGCTGATTCCTTTCTTGTTTGGATTTATGTGACCTTAATAGCTGTAGTAACTTGTTAAAATAAATGAGACCTGGACAATTCCAAGGTCCCCATACTTACAGTGTTTTCTTCATAGGTTGCAGCAGTGATCTTACAATAAACTCTCCAAATGCAACCCTTTGCTCAGCTCCTGTTGTCAAAAATAGGAAGAGGACTTCAATGCAGAGCCAAAGCGTAAGTTAGTTATGGCAATGTCACAGTATAGCTTTGGGTACAGTTTCACTGGGGTACAAATTTAGTTCTGTAGGATTTAGTTCTGTATGAGCATTGAAGAAGCTCCATATGCCACTTGTAACAGTATATAGGCTACAATTTAACCATCTGTAATAGTTGTTGATAATGGGGTTTTTTCTTAGTTTGTTGTGCTCTAACAGTAAATATTCTGTAATTAGATTTGTTTAATAGTTTATTTTCCAGGTTTTTTTCTAGTGAAAGCTTTTTCAGCTTTTTGTCCAGGACACTTAAATTTTTTATGGTCTCAGGTTGGAGCACGCTGCCTTGTTACTGCTGGTGGGTATGGCTGTCTTGGACTCCATTGGAGTTGGTTTTGGCCACTTTGCTAGATATATGGACACAGTTCTTAGCTAAATGGTGAACAGTAGAGTTGAAAGGTGATGCTTGTACAAAAGCTGGTTAACTCCTGATAGTTATCTGTACAATAACTTTATATATATGTATCTTTCTTGAAGGGTGGAAACAAGTTGAAGGCCTTGTTAGTGTGCTGGGAAAATGATGCCAATAATCTAGTTTGTATATTTAATTTTATTGTTTTGATTCTATTTTTTTTAAATAGGATATTCCGTTAATGGCAGGGTTGAGAACAGGCATCCTTTATAGTGGTGTTTGTTTACTTTATTTTGATGTTAGAATACCATATAATGTCAAATAATTTCTTGCAAAACCTCAGCCTGTCTTAAGAAAGGTGAATTAAATTGTTTAAAATAATTCATTCTAATGAAAAGAATAGCTTGCCTGGAGACTAGCAGGATGCCTGTTTAAAGCTGCATATAGATTTTTGCTGTACACACTGTTTTTCCTGTTATTTGAAATTTATAGTTACTTCTAGAAAGTCTTACTTGATAGAAAGTTGAAGTGTTTAGTTAAAATAGAACTGTGATTCACATGAGTGTGATTTAAGGGAAGGAAAGTATATCATGTTCTGTAGAAATTTGTATTCCTATCAAAATACAGTTGCTTTATCAACTATTTTACTTTGTCTCATTATTCGTTACCAACTATGACAGCCAAAGGCAGGATCAACCAACTCTGTGAAAAGAGCCTGTTATTCTCCAGAATCCTCACCTACATCACTGCTAAAACCAGTCAGCAGCAGAGGTTGGTCCCACTAGTACTGAATTAAGGGGTTTTGGGGGGTTTTTTTGTAAGGTTTTGAGTAGAGGAATTAAACCTGTTCTATATATGTAGGACCCAGCCTAAATCTGAGGGATTTCATTAGCAACAGTGAAAAGGCACTGCCTTAGTTATGGCAAGGGGAGAGTAAGAGACTGCATACGCAGCTCCTCCTCTTCCAGATTCACAAGTCCCATTTCTGAGGTCCAGAAGAATGGCACTTCTGCCAACAGAAACTCCACGTATTTCCAAGATTTCTCAGATATTTATCTTCAGATGTACTTATTACATAGTCTCAACTTTCAAGTTGTCTAAGCTGCCATATATGAATACAGTAAGATATATTTTAGTATTTGTAAGGAAGAATAAAAGCCCTTTAAGAGCTAAGAGCAAATTAGTCAAGATATTTAAATGTTAAAAATGGTAAATATAAAAAACTTGATGAAATAGTTTTTGAAGGTAGACAAGGCCATAAAAAAACCCCAATATAAAACAGACAAGCATGGGACTCCAATCGACTGCACACGCATTGTTCCATCCTATCCAGACTCGGACCACCACACAAGGCAGGTTATTTGCACCATCAGTTATACTGCGTAAAACTAATACAAACTCTTACTGTTCTCACTGAACTGTGGGGTTGTCTTGACTCAGTTCTTTAGGAATACATTCAGTGCAGGTAGCTCAGTGTGCAGCTGCATGCCAGTCTCCTTCAGCAAACTTTACATCAAGTTCGAAATACATTTGTATTTACACACTTACATTATGATATTTTAAATAATCTTACCTATTTTATGCCTTGCTATGTTGTCTGACAATGGATCTCTCACTTTGTAATTCAAGTCATCAAAAGTCTCTGTAAACACATTCAAAAAACCACCACCATAGGAATTTACTATTCCTGACTTTTATTCAATATCCCCACTAAAAGCAACCAAGGGTAATACAAGTCCCAACACATTTTGCTATAAACGTGTATGAAACCCAATGTAGACAAGCAGTATATGCAATTAGTAAGCTTGAAAATTACATGAAAACTATATATTCAAGTAAATATTCCTCAGACCTATCCCTCTTGATAAAACACACATTGGAAAATTATGACAAAGTGCAAGGTCAATCAGCTTTATATCACTCAAACCTAGCTTTAGAACAAACTTCTTACAAGAACACACACAAAATTAGGTCTCTGAAGAAAGCACTGCATGAACTAATAACATTCGCATATTCACTTTTGGCTCTAGAATACTAACAAAATGACTTTTTATCTCCAAGGCTCATGTTCATTATGACAACACGTACAACTCATGTTGTGAAACTTAAAATCCAAACCAACCAAACAAAACTTTTAAAAAAACCCAGACACCACAAACCAAACCAACCAAAGAAAACACCCCAAACCAAAATATTCTTGGGTGAACAGGCCATCGGGCTGTACACTTTGGTCCAGGGTGGCCTGAAGTGATTGCATTTAGTACCATCACATGGCAACACATCAAACTGGTACAAACAGAGCCTGAAAAACGTGTTCAAAATATTTTGGAGCGATAACTTTATCCCAGTAGGCTTGATGCCAAACCCTGGAGGGCTTGTTCTTCCAAAGCTAACACAACATAAAGCTGGCATAGTGTACCACCTACTTGGACAGAAATGTAACCACAGCCAATAAAATTTGTTGGACATTTGTTCTGGACAAGCTGAATACAACAGAAATTACTGAACCATCAGTTACAGTTTATAAGAAGCTTATACATAAAATGCAAGAAAATATCAACTTTAAACATTACCTGATGATGTATCATACTGTTCACAAGACTTAGTGCTGGAATCAAATTTATCACAATGTTCTAGAACAGGCCCACTGCAAAAGAATAAAAAATAAACCTGCTTAAAGATGTTAAATGTCAAAGGAACATTACAGCACTACCATATATATAAAAGTTAAGTTTTTTTCAGATCATGTGGTCTGGGTTTTATTTTTCTTTTAAACATCTGTCTACAGTGATTAGACACTGAAGCAAATGACTGTTAGTTAGAAATCATAGGTCTGAAATTCATCAACTCCTCCTCTACTCAGTCACCAGGCAGAAAACTTAGTGTTCACACCTCCTCTCTAAACAGGTTTCTTAAACTTCTTTTTTTCTCCCTTCCAGAATAAAGATACTTTCTTCTGTTGCATTACCTTTCAAACAATTTTCCATATACTGTGATTATGGTACTGCTTTAAAGAAATGTTTTGCATACTATAAGGAATGGACAGTAAAATAGTTTGTCTTTGTAATGAGTAGTCTGTCATGAAATCTCCCCCGTAAAATGACAATTTATATGTGTGACTCCACCAGAGATTCTTTAGCAACCAAATCACTTCTAACAGGACCTCTCTTGCAGCCTTAGCATCAGTACCCTTCACCTTCCTTCTTCCTCCATCTGTGGCTGTGCTTCACTGCTTTTACTGTGCCAGTGAAGTTCACCTGTTATCCACCTAAACTCCAAAAGATGCATTTAAATTATCTAAATTACCAAACCTACACTACAAATTCATCCAAGTAAGTCTGCAGTAGTCTCCCTTATAATTAAAAACCCCAAATCCCTTTTTCTGCAGAATGACTGCTTAAGAATTTAATAAATTCACAGACTGCCACTCCTGTTTGCTTTGTCATTAAGTTCCCATCCCATGAAGGGGAAGCTACATGCCTATCTACATGCAAAAAGTTTGGATCATGGATACAGCTCTATACCCCATTTAACGGCAACTTTATTAGTACAGCTGCTATTAGTTCTAGGAGCACTGGTATTTCTGTTCCAAAATCACACACTAATGTGGAAGCAAACCTCAAAGGAAAAAAATCCCCTAAGGCAAGAAACCTACTATGACCCCTTATTTATGACAGGAAGAAGAATTTTACTAGTTTATTAACGGTATTAATGCAGTATTTAAAATCCTCAAGCGCGAATTACAATTCTTTTCTACTAGGTGCTTCACTAGTAGAGCACAGAATGGGGCAGTACTACCAAACTCTTCTGTCTCAGTGGGGCAGAAGTGAGATTAAATTCAAGGTTTTCAGACAACTCAAGAAATTACCTTTCATAGTTCACAGCCTTCTCAGCCACAAAGGAATATCTAGAAGAGAAAAAATTATTCAACCCTTTTAGGGCTGAGTCAATTTTTACTTAATGAAAGGAACCTGTAGGGCAATAATTTTATATCCTGAACAAAACCATAAAAAGACATTAAAAAAAAATTTAAAAACAATGCAAAGAACAACTATTAAAAACTGGTTTTAGGCTCCTTAAACTTCCGTCTTTAGATTGCCTATGACTAGAAAGTTACATCCACAAAAATATATACAATAGCTGAAGAATTAAATGCTGTATTTTCCAAATTTCATTTAAAAATACAACAAACCTGACAGTGAAGTTACTCTGTGGTGGTAGGATTGTATCTACTACACAAGTCTCACGAGAACAGTTTAACCAGCACAAACTTCCTCATGTAAAAGACACTAGATTTGGCACCCACATTTGAGAACAGGATGTTGACTACACCACGTGGTTTCTCTATTAACTATTTGACCAATCTCAAACTATCTCGTAGTTCAATTGGGCCATCACTGCTTAAAAGTTAACAAGGTGTGTTTAATTATCTACCAAGTTATACCACGCTTGTAAGGAATCACATAAAAAGCTTACTGTGGTCCATGTTGCCTGTTACGTTTTCTTTTGTTATTTTTTATTTTTACATCTGATAACTTCTGGTTTTTCCTTGCCATGTTCTGTACAGAAGAGCTGTCAGAATCTGTTTGAGACTCAGTGTCCTCAGGGTTTGAGTAAACAGCTTTATTGGTTCTGCAAGGAATCTTTCCGGGTATCTTCCCTGAATACTTGGCTGACAACTGCTTCTTTTCTGAATTCTTCACACTGTCCATGAGATGCTGTAGTGCTTTCACAGGAGATGGGTTATTTGCACCACCAGGTGACTCCAATGTGTGCAACACATTTCTAGGCTTTTCAGACACAGCCAATTTCTGAATCACGGGAGTCTCTAATTTCTGACGCAAGGGTGTGGTACACACATCTTTCAAATGTACAGGCTCTCTTTCATGCTCTTCTTCACTGGGTTCACTGTCAGAACTCTTCTCTCTTTGCAACTGAGTTTTTTTACTACTACTTTTCTGGACAGATTTTTTAAGCTCCTTCCTTGAACTTAACGCCACTTTCTTAGCTACTTTAACCTTAGGAAGTTTCTGCTTAGCAGTTTGTTTCCTCTTATCTAAATGCTGAGAAGCTTTTGAAGCTGACTGCAGATTCTTGGAAGACTTGAGAGACTTTTTTGGAGACACAGTCTGGTCTTGTTGATGCCCAGATGAGGGCATAGGCAAATCTTCACTTGGCAGCACCCTTGGTTTACATTTTTCTACATCAGATGTTTCTGTTTCCAATCCAGACCATGACAATATCAGTTCTTCAGCTTCTGGTTTCCAGAATGTGTTCTTTTTCTGGTTTGGAGAGTCTTGCCTAAGTGCGTCCTCTTTAGTCTTTCCTATCAATACACAAAACATTTGGACATTAATATCTTTTTACATTAAACAGATACGTGTTGACATCTGAATGCCTAAAAATAAACCAAAAATTCAAAATGGGAAAACAAACAAACAAAAGGTATCACAAAACCAGGTTTGTTCCTGAAGGCTAAAAGAAGGCCTTCTCTAAACTAGAGTGTATAAAAAACCTTTTTAGTGTACTTCCAGTATTTCCTAACAGAAAAAAAAGGGAGCAGAAATGTTACATTTAGCTTGCTATCCAGTTTTCAGTGTTTCCTGCTACAAACCTTTTCACAAATAATTCCTAAACCCCAACTAATCCCCTTCAGTTCGAAGCATGTGTCTTAACCTCCTTCCTACCTACCTTCTACCCTACGTACCCTACCATGTGGGTACCTACCTTCTACACCAGCTCATAAGGAAAGACGACACCACTAAATTAATTTTTAACATCCTAACAGGAAGGGCAAAGAGGATGGGAAAAGTGAAAACACTCTGTCTCACTGCCTCATACACATCCAAATCTAACTGTGGAACTGAAACATCAAAAAGGAATCCATTAATGTCTGTTATCTACTTTATTATAATTTTCTAATAAACCACCACAAAATAATCCAGTAATATGACCTGGAAGGAAAAGTTTAAGGAGCTGTTAAAGAACTTACCTGTATGAGTACTCCTACACATGAAGAGTTTTAAAACTCAAGATGTGCACGATTGTGGCGTGCCTGGACAAATGTCTGGCTCTGTACGCGCTCACTCGCCCATGGAAGGCGGCTCTCCAGAGGCAGCCTGAGGGAAACGGGGCTCCCGACAGACTGGACCTCGGAGTACAAGTGTCTGTGCAAGGGGCCCGGACCCGGACCCGAACCCGGAGGGCGCGGTGCGCCAACTCCGGCCTCCCGCTCCTCAGGGAGAGGCGGAAGACCCCAGGGTGGGGCGGAAGAACGACCCCGCCCCTCCCCCGGGGACGCGCCGGGGGCCGCACCTCTGGCTCTCCGGAAGGGACCGGCTGCTGCCCACAACAGAGCGGAAGGATGGATACTTTGTTAAGGCTTAGTGAACGTGTATGAACTAGGGAGCTCATGGCCCTAAAGGAAAGCATGGATGATGTTGTGACAGAACTCAGCAGGCTGTTGCTTGCCAGTGATGTGTTTTCATTTCATGGACTCAAATGAGAAGTGATACGTTACCCTTCTCATATCAGGCAGCGATGTGTCTTCCCCCACTGCACTGTACAGGCACTCTGCAGCAAGGTTTTGAGTCGATTTCTGTCAAGAGTAAGTGGTGAGAAATATGTCCTTCGGGATGCTTCCTTAGTCAGAAGTAATGTGCAGACCTTTTCCTGACACAGGCTGGAAAGTGTGGGTGTTCAAATGCAGGTTTGAGGTCAGCATGCCTGTTTGTGTTTTCCTAATTCTAAGTCTAGGAGTGTCAACAGAATAGGGTGGATTTGGTAAAGTATATCGCTTTTTAGTCTGTATGGATTTTTTGCTTTCTGGCTAGTTGGTTTCTTGGGAGAGATGTCCTGTGTGATTCGAAGAGAACATTTTGTAGTTGGATCACATCTCAAAATGTTTGTGTTTTACTTCTTTTTTAAGAAGCAATACCAGTTGTACCAAGGGATGTTCTCTGGAATATCACTGTAGCTTAGCAACACTTCTACTGTTTGTCAGTAGATGGGGCTTCAAGCACAGTTTTTTGTCCTTTGCTGGCCTCTGTGTTCCATCAGGGTCTGGTTTTTGAAAGGGAGGAAGAAGTGTGTTACAGTTGGAGATAAATTCAGTGGCCAACATACATATATCTTTTAATAAAGGGTTGTTATTTCTTCTGTTTTTTCCCCACATTTTCCTCGAGTAAAGCCCCTTAATTTGACATTACAATTGCAGAGAGAGAGGAGTTTGGTCTATCTCATAACTCATCCTCCTTAGCAAACAGTTCAGTCTCATCAGACTGAGACAACCACAAAGCCAAATCTTCCAGGCATTGTTTCCGGCGGAACTGAGCTGTTGATTCCTCTTTTCAGATTTGCCTCCCAACTGACAATCCGACTTCTGTAGTTGCATACAAACAAATATTCCCCCTATAGCAAAATTGCCAGCACAGAAAACTCTTGCTCCCCATGGAGTCTCCAGGCAGACAAACCAAATGCACCACAAAGCTAAAAATTGCCGACTTTCTTTCCTGATGATAAGGGCTGTCATTTCCTCTTTTCAGACCTGCCTCCCAACTGAGAGCCAGACTCCCAAAATTGCATATAAAAAAAGATTCCTCCCACACAAAAGGTGTCAGCGCAAAAAACTCTTGCTGCGCATGGAATCTCCAGGCTGACACATCAACTGCAGCACAAAGCCAAAGCTTCCAGATTTCTCTTTTGCTGGCATGGGGAGAATCTTGCATTGTCCTCCAGGGCACACGCTTTTGACAATTTTTGAGGAGCACGAGAGGCATAATATCCCTCCAGGCTCAGCTCCCCGGGTCAGCCTCTCCTGACCTGTCCCGGGGAGCATCCCTGCTGGCAGCAGGAGCACTTCTGCCGGCGACAAAGATAACCTGGGCTTTTGTCAGGGGCTGTGGCACCAGTGCTACGGCGAGGCAGTGCATAGGAGAAGCACCTTCCCCAGAGAAAGCTTGGATGTGGCATGGCATCTCCCACCTGCTTTGAAATTCATGGAGATGCAACCTCCGTGAGGA